TGATACCGTATAGGTTGTGATGGATCATTTGACCAATTTTTCTCATGTTGTTCTGATCTGGATAGACTTCACGTTAAAAATATTGGTTCAGCTATACATCCGCGAGATTGTGAGGTTAAATGGAGCTCCTATCTCAATCATATCCGACAGAGATATGCAATTCACTTCTCAGTTCAGAAAAGCACTGCATGGAGCTTTGGGTACTAAACTGCATTTTAGTACCACTTTTTATTCTTAGACAGAAGGGCAGTCCGAAGCGAGTTATTCAAATCTTAGAAGATATGCTCAGGTGCACCGTTTTGGATCTTGAGGGTAGTTGGGAAGATCACTTTCCAATGGTGGAGTTTGTGTACAATAACAATTATCAAGCAAGTATTCAGATGGCTCCTTATGAAGCCTTGTATGGGACAGATGTAAAACATCATTGTGTTGGATGAAACTGAGGGTAAGATGGTAGGTCCCAACTTAATCCGAGAAACTAAATAGAAAATTTAGTTGATTTAGAGTCGTTTAAAGGAGGCTTTTGACAGATATAGGTCGCATGTCGATATGAAGTACAAGGATATAGAATTTGTAGTGAGAGATAAGGTATTTCTCAACATTTCCCCATGGAAAAAGGTACTTCGGTTTAGACGCAAGATTAAGTTGACTCCACAATTTATAGGACCATATTAGGTTTTGGAGAGAGTTGGGCTAGTAGCTTACCGTTTAAAGTTGCCTCTAGCACTTAAGCGCATCTATAACATGTTTCACGTATCCATGCTTCGAAGATATAGATCCGATCTATCCCATGTCATACCCCTTGAGCAAGTTGAAGTGAGGCAAGAACTAACTTATGAGGAAGAACCGATCACAATCCTTGCCAAATATGTCAAGGACCTGAGGAACAAGAGGATACTGTTAGTGATAGTTTTATGGAGGAACCATGGCGTAGGGAAGCGACATAGGAACCCGAAGATGATATGCAACTTTATTATCCGCGGCTCTTCTATTCAGGTAAATTTTGAAGACGAAATTTCTTCTTAGGAAATGAGAGTTGTAACGCCCCGAATTACGTGTTAGAAGTTTCGGATCTATTCAAATGGGCTTTAGAATAAATTTCCCTTAGTATAAGAAATTTTAGACCTAAATATATTTGATTTGGTCTTGTGATGAGCCCAATATGTATTAAAATGGGTGTTTTTAACCTGGAACTAAATATGAAGGACTAGGGGAGTAATTATCCCAAATTTTGAAACAAAGACTGAATTCTCATTAATTGGGATGATATTTGTTTGTTACATTCCTATATCTTTTTCTTCATCATGCTTGTCTTTTTTCTCTCTTCTTCTAAATCTTCTTCCTTCCCTAGTCAAGAAAAAAGCCTAAGCTTTTTAGTTTTGTAAGCTTACTTTAGAATTCTAAGGTAAGATTCATAAACTACAACTCCTAAGCTTCCATCCAAACCCTCTTTTGCAATATTTGACTTAGTTAGCCCAAATTTTATGCATCATCTAGTAGTTTTGTATTACTGAGTTTTCCCAAAGCTCACTCTGTTACTTACTATTTCAGATTAAATAAATTGATCATGTGTAGTATCGACATCAATATGAAGTTCTTTTGATGTTGCTTATGGAGTGCGGTACTTTTATAATTAGGGGCATGTAGGTCATATTTTGATTGTATATTAGAGTCTGTAACTTGTTTTGATATTGTATATAATTGTATTCTGTTTTTTTTTATGTAAATGTTTCTTGAACTTGTAAAATGTTATTAATGAATTATTTTAATATTTAAATGGTTTGAAAAAATTTTAAAATTTTCCTAGAATTTTACCGTGGGTCGCTCTGGTGGTCCTAATGTGACTCCTCGAACTAGATCGAGTCACCGTATTGGTCTGGGTGTTATAGAAACTTTTAATAGTTTTTGAACTCTAGTTGCTTCTAAATATAAAATTCAATACTTGATCAAAGTGTAAAGTATAAAAATGTTCTTCAAATTATAAGATATTATTTTATTGAGTTTTTTGATTATTAATAATTATAAAATGATTTTTTATTGAATTCGTAAACTATTAGAAGTTATAAAATGATCACTCAACTATTCATTATGTTACAAAATCATCCTTTTTTGTTAAAAAAAATAACAGTCATCTGAGATAGATGTTAATATGTTGTCTGAGATATAATAGTCGTTTGAGATTATATTTTTATTATATCTTAATCAGTAAGTTAATGTACATCTCATATTGCCATCAATTTTTTAACAAAAAATTATAAGTTTGGATCATAATAATAGTCCTGTGACAATTTGTAACTTTTACTGGTCAAAGTACTCAACAAAGTAGCTTCCTATAATCGAATGACTATTTTATAACTTTAATCGGAGATCATTTGTGTATTTTACCCTTCTCTTTAATTAATAAAAAATATTAATATCTTATTATGCCACGTCGAATAAAGATGTACCTATCAAACGTATTTAGACATGTTTTTACCATATGTAATACAATCAATAAAAATATTAAAAATAACAAAATAACAAAATATTATTTTGAGAATAATTCAGAAAATATATTAATGTAAACATTAATTTTTTACGGTATTTTTTTATATATGAAAGAAACCCAAGTTGTATTTGGTAACATGACTAAAACGACAGTTATAGGTTTGTATATTGCAGAAAAATCATACACGCAATTCAATGTCGTTGGAAGTGGCAACGTAAAAAGTTGACATTTTTTTTTTATTTTAAACGTTAAATTTAAGGTTATACCTTTCCTCGAAAGTGAAATGTAGAAAATAGAGGTGTGCAAAAAAATTGGATTCGATCGATTGATTAATCTGAAAATTCGGATATCTGATCTGTTTTTTAATTTTTGGATAGTTCAGATTGGGTATCCAAATTTTTTTTCCTGATTTTTGGATCGAATACAGATCGATCAAAATCCAATTTCGGATTATCTGAAAACCCGAAAAAATTTGGGCTATATTATTAGCCAGAGCTGTTTGGGCTATATTAAACATTAGTAGGTTTCAAACCTTGTTCTGTCATTTTCTTTTTTGCTTCTCGTCCGAAATTTCGCCAAGAAATTCGATTGTTTTAAACCCTCGTTTCATTTCTTTGTTTTTCATCGTCCCCTTCCTCTGGTTATTTCTCTTACACTCTTACTCGACTTTCGACACCCTTTAAAGCATTTTTCTTTTGAAATTTTAGTTGCTGCTACCAACAATTTCCACTATCATAAGCTCGATGAAGGTTGTTTTGGATCTGTTTATAGGATAAGATCTAACCACTTAAACTTTTTACGTATTCAAAGTTTTAAATTTTACATAACTTTTACATATAAAAAACATGATGAACAACAAATACTGCAAATGTCTCCATTTCCCCTTGAGATTTGTCTAATCTTAAATACTGCAATTTTATTTTCTTGAAAAGTTTAGTGCTTGCAAGTAACTAAGAAGGAGAAAACTGGTTACACTTCCAAAAATCTAAAACCATAGATAGAGAGAAAGTGGGGTTGAATTGTGGACGCCTAACAGAGTAGCTTTCAGATCTGGACCACTTGCTTTTAGAAAGTAATTTAATTTAACATTTTTCTTGAGTTTTTTTAGAATTTTTTTACAGACTGTCTTGCCAAAAAATAAACTCTTATTATGTATTTATTATTAGAAAAAGAGATATTTTTCACTTTAAATGGAAAAAGAAAATATTTATTTTTAATTATTAAATTATTGGGGTTATTTAATTCGAACACCATTAAGATAATAAAAAAATAGGACAACAAAAATAATAAGGAAATAAGTTTTATTTGCTTGTATGTTTTATTTTTTAATTGAAATTAATAAAGAAAAAAAACTCGCTTTTTGTGGGGACGCCACATCAAGTAATTCTAATGCTACATTGTTTTCTAACAGCACATGTGCTAATATCCTGTCGGTTGAGGCTGTAACAAATCTTAATATGATTTCGGTTTAACTAATTGTGTTAGAAATCTTTTATATTTTCAGAGTTCCTTGTTTAATAGATTCTGATTAGTGAGAATAATGATTTCACTGTGAATATGACTTTATGATTAGCTGATTCGAATAAAATGAATGTTTCTAGTTTCGTCAAATTTGTATTACATGTAATGTTTGAGAAACAATAATCAATGCACATGGTTTAACTAATTGATTGCTTTTTTTGTTTATTCAATATTTAAAGTTTAAATATAAATGCATATTTTAATCTTTTTTATTTTATTTCGTGTGATGTAGCTATAAAGGATCTAACTTTAGAGCAATTGGAAATCATAATTGATGAGACAAGTAATACTTTGGATGATTTGTAAAATTTTTACTTTGAAATTTTGAAGTACTTAGTGATCCTACTATCTCTTGTATTATGTTGTCAAGACTTAAGACTTGATACTCTTGTGTGGTATTTTATTTTTGAATATCTTGTGTTGATTTTATTGTGTTGTTGAGATTTGATACTCTTGTGGTGGTATTTTTAATATGAACATCTTGTGTTGATTTGAGACTTGATACTCTTATGTAATATTTTTATTTTGTACATCTTGTGTTGGTTTATTGTGTTGTTAATGTACACTACTATATGCTATTTAACATTTAGGAAATTATTTTAGTGTACTATGTTATTTAAAATTTTAATTGTAGTGAGGCATGTAATTACATAAACAAATTGTTGGAAGACAATAAAATATAAATATTTTAATTTCTGTTAATTTTTTTATGAACAAATAAAAAAAATACGATGGCATTAACATTGGTAGAAATAAAAATATTAATTTTAAAAATGGTAATATTACATATTTAATCAAATATATTTCGTTTGGGAATAAGATCATGATCCCGTAACAAATAATATTAAAGTATCTTGTTAACTATCTTATTTAATTTCAAGTGTTTGAGTGGATAAGATAAATAAAAAAATTAGAAGAAAAAAAGGAGATTTTTTTGTTCTAACCAAAATCGGATTCGGATTCGGATTCGCCAATGAAATAAAAAAATCAGAAGATAGCTTTGCCCCTTCTCCTTCTTGTTCTAATCCTCTTTATTCCCATTCTGAAAGTATTGTTCGCCAAATTCGTCAACAGCAATGGCTACGCTCCAGCGGAGGGCACTATTTTCGGGCAGATTTTGTACTTCGACTATCTATACGACTACCAAACTCAAGTCGCCAAAAGGCTGCCCACTTACAGGATGATTGGTTTAACCCACAGTGAAATTTCGACCACCGATACTCGAAACATTGAGCACATACTCAAAACCAGTTTCAACAAATATGCGAAAGGTAAACATCTGCAAGAAAATGTTTCAGATCTTTGGGGAGATGGGATTTTTGCTGCTGATGGAGACAAGTGGCGTCAGCAGTGGAAGCTTGCCAGCTACGAGTTCTCCACCAGAGTTCTCAGAGACTTCAGCTGCTCTGTTTTCAGAAAGAACGCTGCAAAATTGGCTACGACAATCTCAAAGCTTGCCATGTCGGGTCAAGTTATTGAATTCCAAGTTAGTAATCCGATCCCACTTCTTTATTATTATTGTTAACAAAGAAATGCTCGATTATTATGTGGTTTTGGTTTCATATATGTAGGATTTGTTCATGAAAACCGCCTTGGAATCGATATTTAAAGTTGGTTTCGGAATAGATTTAAACTGCTTGGATTGGTTAAGCAACCAAGAGGCCACCACCTTTTCCAAGGATTTCGATGATGCCAATGAAGCGGTGAATCTTCGTTTCATCAATCCTCTTTGGAAACTGAAAAGGTTTCTTAACATCGGGTCTGAAGCTACCCTGAAGAAGAACATCGAAATCATTGATAAGTTTGTCCACAATATAATAAGCACCAAGAAGGAATTGTTGGCAATGAACTCGGCTCCTGTAAGTCTTCTTTTTCTTATGCAAATGTTTCGCTTTACAAAAAATTTAAGGGTTTTTTTGTTTCTTGGCGATTCTAGATTGAGAAAGATGATATACTTTCGAGATTCTTAGCGGAGAGTGAAAAGAATCCAGAAACAATGAGCACTCGATATCTAAGAGACATTATTCTGAATTTCTTGATTGCTGGTAAAGATACAACTGCAAACACTTTGTGCTGGTTCTTCTACATGCTCTGCAAAAACCCCACGATACAGGAAAAGATTGCACAAGAAGTTATAGACCTCACTTATAGCGAACCGAATGATGCTAACTTGGACGATTTCGCGGCCACCATAACCGATGCAACTATCGATAAGATGCATTATCTTCATGCAGCACTAACCGAGACCTTAAGGCTCTATCCTGTAGTTCCCTGGGTAAACACACTATTCTACACGCACGTATCATGTTATTAATTGAATGTCTTCATGGTTCAACTTTGTTTCCCTTTGTTTTGTACTTTGAAGGATGGAAGGTGCGCACAGGAGGATGACGTTCTACCCGATGGGCACAAAGTAAAGGAAGGAGACGAGGTTTTTTACCTGGCATACGCCATGGGAAGAATGCCTTACATTTGGGGAGAAGACGCTGAGGAATTTCGACCAGAAAGATGGCTTAAGGACGGAGTTTTTCAACCCGAATCGCCATTCAAATTCATATCATTTCATGTTCGAACTCTTTGTAATTTGTTTCTTAAAGTATTTATGCATATGGTAATTGTCCAACTCTAATCATACTCTCTTTTGCTTTGTTGGTATTTCCAGGCCGGTCCCCGAATTTGTTTAGGCAAGGATTTTGCGTATCGACAAATGAAGATATTGTCGATTGTCCTTATCCGTTATTTTCGGTTTAAATTGACCGATAATGCACAAGATGCAGCTTACAGAGTTACAATTACTCTTCATATGAAAGGGGGACTTCATGTTTGTGCTTTTCCCAGGGCAATTTAACCAGCTTCCACACATTAAACACTGTTGCCTGGAAAGTGTTGCTACACTTTCTGATTGTGGTTGTGATTTAGTATAAAATTTCCTCTCTTTTTTCCCCTTTTGTGTGCATCGTAATAATGGGTGTAATGTATTTACTAGTAGTGGTTACCGAAGTTCATATACGATGCTACTCTTAGAAATGAAACAATTAAAAGGAAGGATCAAGAATGTACGCCCCTTGTAATGTTCAATGGTTTGTATCTGGAGATTCAAATGATGACTGATTGCATTTTATAGTTAAATGTCATATGTTATGTATATAAAATTTTGTGTTATAACTTTTTGTTTTAAATAATAATTTAGGTCTTAATATGGATTATTTGAATTTTATTATATCGTTTAACGTTTAAAGAATGTGAATTCGTTGAGTAATCTTAATAGTTGTAATCGACATCTTTTCATTTGACCCTTTTAATTATTATTATTATTAGTATTACGTAATTAAAAAGATCCAATTTATAAAAATTAACCTAGTCAACATCTCAAATATAAGAAGTTTGGGAAGAAACCCTAGCAAGGGTTGCCATCAACGCTGCACCACGCCAATTGTTGGATCTGTCCAGATCCAACAGCTCAGATTTAAAATAACTCAAGTTTCCCAAACCCTACTGTAACATGCACAACTACCGCAGCTTCTCAAACATTAGATCAAATCTGATCTAACGGTCCTGGAAGTGCCCTTGTCGATTCCCTATGAAAGCCCTCTATCGTCACCACTGTTGCATCTCTCTTCGGTCACCGCAGACGAAAAACATGAAATCTTGAGGTGAAAAACAAATAACATAGTCCTTTCCCGTGTCACGATCGTTGATCTTGTCGTGACCGTCTTTCGGTTGGGTCCGGAATTGAGCTTCGACTTGAATAGTTGGGTTTAGAGTCGCCACCGATCATTTTAAAAATATTTAGGTAGATCGGACACCATCTTACCTGATCTACGTTTTACCAGAAACGTGTCGGGTTCGGGAGTCGGTTACAGTCAAGGAATGATTAGTACCCTTGTACTGCCCTTTCGATACCAATTAATTTGTCGGTTGTCTTAATAGCGAAAATTTAAATTTAAATTTAAATTTAAAAAACTCGATTCAAATTACTTACCTTTGGTTGGTTTAAAAGCATACCTTTAAAAAAGTTAGAAAAATGTTAGCTAAAGTAAAATGCAGAATCGAAAAAGACAATAACTGTACAAAATGTCCCAAAATAAAAAAAAGAAAATAAATACAAAATAAAAAAGTAAAAAACCAAATAAGGTAACTAAATTAAAGAAACAAATCAAATAAAATAAAAAAAAGGAAAAAATAATAATAAAAATACAAACAAAACAAAAAAAATAATAATAAAAAACCAAATGTTAGCTTAAGGAACTCAACATGTCCCACTTTCGCGATATTTCTGGGCAAGTTCAAAGGAAGAGAGATGAGCTTCAAAATATTCAACTTTCAAACTTATGTGTTGCTCCTGCTGGAAGTTTCATTAAAGACGAATTGGAGGCAGGAAGGGAGCTTCATTCCCTTGAACAGGCGGAGCTACTATTCTATAAACAGAAGGCTAAAGTTGATTAGATCAGAGATGGTGACCAAGGCAACCGTTTCTTTCACTCAATAGTGGCTAACAAAAGAACTTGCACTATCATTCGTGCTCTGTATAACCAGGATGGGGTTAAACTGGACTCATTCGAAGGCATGTCAAATAAAGTAATTCGATTCTTTAAGGATCAATTAGGGGTTGTTGACCCTGATATCCAGAGCTGCAATATTAACGTCATTAGGAGCCTTCTTGATTATTCATTGCCGAGGGGTGTTGCCGATATATTGATCAAAGATGTGTCCGATGCTGAGATTAAAGATGCCATATGGGAACAAGGGAACAACATGTCCCCTGGTCCAGATGGCTTTAATTCTTACTTCTTTAAGGTTGCTTGGCCTATAGTTGGGAATGACTTCTTGGCAGCTATCAGGTACTGCTTCGATAACTCCTTTATACTCCCATATTTTAATACTCCCAACCCGAATATGGTAAAAGATTATAAGCCCATTTCTTGCTGCTCGGTTATATATAAAACCGCTACTAGAATTTTGGTGAACCGATTATATGTAGTTTTCCGTAGTATGATCACAATGAATCAATATGCTTTTGAGAATGGGAGAAGTATTATAGATAATACGCTTTTAGCTCAAGAGCTTGTTAGGGTATATTCTAGAAAGAATATCTCACCTAGATGTGCTCTTAAGATCGACTTGCAAAAGGCTTTTGACTCTTTAGACTGGGAGTTTGTGGGGACTATCTTGCATGCTTTGGGCTTGCCTGAGAAATTCATTGGTTGGATTTGGAACTTTATCACGAATCCTAGCTACTCCATTGTTCTTAATGGCTGCCTTGTTGGATACTTTAAGGGTGCTCGGGGTGTTCGGCAGGGGGACCCCCTTTCACCATACATCTTTGTGCTGGCGATGAATGTCTTATCCAAACTTATGAATTTGGCCGCTGTTAAGGGTGTCTTTAACTACCATCTTAAGTGCAAAAAAATTGGGCTTACCCACCTTTGCTTTGCGGACAATTTACTTGTCTTTTTCAAAGGATCCATGGACTCTATTATTGGGGTGCAAGCTGTCCTGGACGTTTTTTACACTATGTCGGGCATGAGGCTTAATGCTAGTAAGTGTGAACTATTTCCTGCTGGAATTTCTGCCCAGCAATGTGTTTCCATCAGGAATATTACTGGCTTTAAATTGGGTAGTCTCCCGGTGAGATACTTGGGTGTGCCACTGGTGTCAAGGAAATTAACTGTGAATGACTGCCGAAGTCTCATTGATAAGATCAAAGCTAAACTGAATCTTTGGGCCAACAAACACCTCAGCATTGCTGGTAAGTTGCAACTGATCCGTGTGTTTTATTCAGCATGGCTAATTTTTGGTGTCGACAATTAATTCTTCCAAAAGAAATTATTAGAACTATCGAGCAGCTCTGTTCTAGGTTCTTTTGGAAGGGGTCTGACTTGTCTGCGAGGGGTGCCCGTGTTTGTTGGAGGAAAGTCTGTTTGTTGAAGTCCGAGGGGGGCTTGGGTGTGCAAGATATAGGCGGTTGGAACAAGGCCTGTATTGTGCTACTAGTCAGGAAATTGTTGGCCAATGAAGGTTCTCTTTGGGTTGCTTGGCTGCGTGCCTATGTGATTAGAGACAGTGATTTCTGGCAGTTGGATATCCCCAATAATGTTAGCTGGAGCTTCAAACGCCTCTTGAAAGCTAGGCCATCTATTATTCATCTTCTGGTTGATCCAGCTCCTGACCTTAATACAAGACGTATCTGGGATAACATGCGTATTAAGGAAGCAAAGGTCCCTTGGCAGCATCTTGTCTGGTTTTCGGGGCGTATTCCCAAGCAGAGCATTATTGTTTGGATGACCATTTTAAATAGACTCCCTACTCGGATTAGACTTCAAAGGCTCGATCTTAGTATTGATGATATTAATTGTTTTTGTGTGGTCGTGAGGCAGAATCTAAGGAGCACTTATTTTTTGAATGTAGCTTTGCTAAGAGTTTGTGTGGGTCTATTTTTACTTTGTGTGGGTTGTTTCGTGTGGTTAGTAATTGGGATGGTGAACTCGCTTGGGCGATCCATTGTCTTAAGGGAAAATCGCTCATTGTGAAAGTTCTTAAGCTCGCTTGGACCAGTCACATTTACTGTATCTGGAAGAAAGAAACAACAGATTATTTGGGAGCAGCTTTAGGTCAGTGGAAGCGGTTTTGCAGGATATTAAGGAGACAGTTCGCATCCGATTGGCTGGCAAGCCTATTAACAGAGCTGATTCAAGGAATGCCACTCTCTGTGCAAGCTGGGGCATCTCTTAGTTGTGCTTCTTTTCTGGTTTCCTGTTTGTTAAGCTTAGTTCTGCATTTCTTAGCTAGTTCCTTTCCTGTTTTCCTGTTGTGTTAATTACTGGTTATCCTGCGATCTATTGCTTTATGTATGTTGTAATTTGTAGCATGTCTCCTGCTTTCTTGGGTAATGAAATGGAATTATCCAAAAAAAATAATGAAAAAAATAAAATATGCATATATAAACGTTAGGTAAAATAATAATAATGATAATAAAAAAATAATTAAAAAAGGATCTAATTCAACCCTCCTCACCTACCCTAACCACTCCACCACCATTTCATCAAAACAAATGTGAAAAACTCGGGTAGAAAGTGGAAAGGAATAAATTAAAGTGGGGGCCAAACATATAATTAATAATTAAAAGTAAAAAAAAGAAAAAGAAAAAAACACAAATAGAAAATAAATAAATAGTGAAAAACGAATAAAAATAAAAAAAACTAAAAAAATACATAACGTATTAAAATAAAAAAGGAAAAAAATGATGATAAGAAAAAATATAAATATAAACAAAAATGTTAGGTAAAGAAAAATAAATAAACAAAACAAAACAAATAAAATAAAATAAAATAAAATAAAATAAAATATATAATAATAGTAATTAATAAGAAAAAAATAATATAAGCATTAATAATAATAGATAAATACTAATAATAATAATATAAAATATATATATACATAATTAAATATAATGTAATATTTAAATAAAAAAGAAATTAACATGGGGGAATGGACTAAATTAAAATACAGACGAGTTGGGTGCTAAATTTAGAAGAAAAATCACGAGGGAAATTCGATTTGGGGGTCAAAATAGACCCTTAAAAACAAAGGGGATCGAAAGGGTGATTTACCCATTTTCCTCACAAACACGCGTCGGATCATCGGGTCGGGTCATGGGTAATGTATAAAGCCCAAAGCTTGAAACATATTTTCATAATTCATTTCCCCCTCAAAATGGATCAAACTACATTTTACATTTTTCTCTCAATTATTCTTCGACCAAACGAAGAACACGGCTGGGGGTTTAAGAACAAACCCAGTTTCCGGCCAAGTACCACCTCGTCAGCCGCCGTTGATCGGCGCCAGCAGCCGTTCATTGGCGGCGAAACATAAAAAGATTTCATTTTTC